GTACGCATTATCCTGCCCATGCAATTGTAACCCCTCTGTACAGTATGTTCACAAATAAAATAAAATTAAATTAAAAAAAAAAGACTCCACAAAGGTAGGGCGCCGGTGGTTCACATACATCTATAATCTAGTTACTCAGGAGGCTGAGATCTGAGGATCATGGTTCAAAGCCAGCCCAGGCAGGAAAGTCCGTGAGACTCTTATCTCCAATAAAACCACTGGAAAACTGGAAGTGGCACTGTGGCTCAAGTGGTAGAGCACTGCCTTGAGCTGAAGAGCTGAGGGACAGTGCCCAGGCCCAGAGTTCAAGCCCCATGACTGACAAAAAAAAAAAGACTACACATAGATATTCTCTATGACCCAGCAGTCCCACTTCGGGGCATTTACACAAGTGATCACAAACAAGGCCATACTAAAGCTACCAACACAACTATGTTTATCATAGCATTTTTCTCCATAGGTAAGATATGGAACCAACCCAGATGCCTTTCAGTAGATGAATGGATCAAGAAAATGTGGCATATGTGTGTGTGTGTGTGTGTGTGTGTGTGTGTACGAACTCTATGAACTCTATGATTACATCAGAAAGAATGACACCTCCTATTGGAAGGAAATGAAAAGACATGGAAAAATTCATATTAAGTGAAGTAAGCCAGACCCAAATAAATATTTGTCCCATGGTTTCCCTTATTTGCAATAATTGATATATGTCTAGGATAATCTTAGCAGATGGGCAGAATAGCTCAATAGCTATGTACATATGACCATATAAGATGGTCCTAAGGGAAATAAACTTCAAGACATGGACAAAAAAGGTTTATCTTTGTTTGTTGTTGGTGTTTTTAATATACTATGTGATTATTTTTCTTTGTATGTTCTTCACTCTATGGTATAACCTCTGTTGTTACTATATTTGACTTTGGTACCTGGTATTGTAAATAGATTTATTTGAATTACAGAAGGGAAGAAAAACAACAGAATGGAGAAACAAAGGACAAGTGGGAACCAATGCAACAACAATATACACAAGAGGATGTTGAAGATGATCTATACAACTTGTCGGGGTTAGGGGGAGGGAAAGTAGGAGAAAACTGAGGGCTAGGGTAACAAGGTTGACCAGAATTGTACTCATTAGCTTACTCATGTAACTGAAACTCCTCTGTACATCACCTTGACAATATTAAAAAAAAAGACCACAAAAACCACAAATATGTATGTATGGTTAGATGTTGCATTCTCACATCTGTAATCCCAACTACTCAGGAGGCTGAGATCTGAGGTTTGTGCTTCAAAATCAGCCTGGGCAAGAAAGTTCATGAGTCTCTTATGTCCAACTAACTAACAAAAAATTCCATCCAAACCCAGAAGTCCTTCTGTGTTTACTTTGCTGTTTAGATTAAGGTCTCACACTTAAGTCTGGACTATCATCAGACTAGGATCTTCTAGAAGGATCTATAGGTATGCACTGCCATACCAACTCTCCATATTATTCTTAATATTTTTCCTTTTTGTATATATTTTTATTGTAAAAATACTGTACAGAAGGGTTACAGTTACACAAGTAAGGTAATGAGTACATTTCCTATTGAGCATTGTTACCTCCTTTGTTTTTCCCCTACCATCCTTTGCCTCCCCACCCCAACTACTCCCTCTCCACCCCCAAGTTGTAAAGTTCGTTTTCAACATAGTGTCTTGTATATCTCATTGTTACAGTGGGTCAACCTGTGTGCTTATTTCAGCATTTTGTTAATATTTTTCTTATAGCCATTAGTTCCTTCTCTCCAAGTCTTCTGTTTACTTCTTATTATATTTGTTTTTCAATGTATTTCTCCCTACTGAAGTGTGGTCTTTTATCATCCTGTCTATAGTTGTATCATAAGCACATAGATCAGACTGAACCTCAGAGCAGGCAGTCAGCATAAATGTGTTTATTCACTGAGAGAGTAATTACATTAAAAACTCCTTTAGAGATGTGTCCTGTGAAATGGATATTATTAACCCCTGTTTTCACTGTATTTGATGTTGGTATAATTTTTGGAGGGGAAGGGAAAAAACAAATTTTTTAAATAGGGATACAGGTGGGTCCATTGCAACAATGAGATGTACAAGATGTTATGTCGAAAAACAAACTTTACAACTTTGGCGTGCGGGGGGCAGGGAAGATGGGAAGGGATGGGAAGGGGAAACAAAGGGGGAGGTAACAATGCTCGATAGGCAATGTACTCAATACCTTACCCATGTAATGGTAACCCCTCTGTACAGTATTTTCACAATAAAAAAAAAGAAAAGCTGTGATCTACCACATGACCATATTCAAAGAAGTAATTCTCAAAACGTGTACTTGGCCCACTCAGAGTGAGATAACTTGCAAACGCAGCTTCTGGGTGTTCCTAGGTAGGGGCAGCTTTTAGGAAGCTCTCGGTTTTCATTTTCAGAACTGTTTTATTTAGCAAGTAATTAAACTTTTTCTGTGCCTTAGGATTTCTAGTGTTTTATGCAGATATAATATTGACCTTTGAAACTCAATCCTAAACACTTCCTTTAAATGTACTTTATTTTTGTTGATTTTGTACCCATATATTATTTCTTGAATATTTATCATTTATCCAATATTCTTTCTGCCTGAAAGGCTTTTTGTTGTTGCTGGAAAGGCAAATACTACTAGTATTTATATATAATACAATACAAAATCTTTTATTTCAGATATTGAAGAACTATTATCCACAGAAAAATGATTTACTTCTTTTATTTTTCTGTCTTTGTTTTGATCCTGGGGCTCGAACACATGACCTAGGTGCTGTCCTGAGCATTTTACCCAAGGCTAGCACTCTACCACTTGAGCCACAGCTCCACTTCCAGTTTTCTGGTGGTTCATTGGAAGTAAGAGTCTCATGGACTTTCCTTCCCGGGCTGGCTTTGAATTGTTTGTTTTTCAATGTATTTCTACCTACTGAAATGTTACCTGCTGAAGTGAACTGATTCTCATGTCTTAGCCTTACTGGTAGCTAGGATTACAGGCATGAGCCACTGGCACCCGGATAAATGTTTTGCATTTATCTGAAATACTTTCCAAGGAATCAGGAAAGACTAGTATTAAGTAATCTAACTTTTAAATGATAGATATTTTTAAACAATTATTAAACCAACCTATGGCCACTTTATCAAAATCCTTCATTATCTTTACAGAAGTGAAAAGAATGAATTTCCCCATGATTCCACAATGTGTCTTTGGTTGGTTTAGATCAGTAACTTAGATCTTTTGATCAAGTTTCCAGCATGTCAATTATTCTGTATCGTATCTGCATTTCCTTATGAGTTCTCTCTTAGTGTACTTTAGTTTGGCAAAGGGGGTTTCATTATGACATTTCTATGCATGCATGCAATGTGTCCTGAGCAAAGTTCTCTTCTAGTATTCTTCCTTACCCCACCCTCTTCTATGAAAACAATTTCAACAGGTTCCAATTACTCTACTGTCATATATGTAAATATACTACTTTGATCATATCCATATCATTCAGTCACTCTGTCTGCCTCCCCCACTGCTCTACCCCCACCCCAATACAGCCTGTTTTACTTTCATGTTATTTTGAGTTAGTGTGTGTTACTTGCACAAAGTGTGTTTGCCACAATATTTCTAACTTACATATATCATTTTAAAATCAGAATAATCCTCTCTATTGTTCTCTCTTCCCCGGTCTCCTACCTCCTTCAGGCCAACAGCTATATGTTGTCTTTAACTCAAAGTAAAAACATAATCAATGCTCTGCAGAATTTACTTTATTGACAAGTAACTCAAGCAATATGTATATATATACCCACAGCCCAGAAGACGGTCTGCCTCTTTAAGTGCTAAGGGCTTTGTCAGAGAAAAGTAAAATCAGAAGTGAGAAAAAAAAAGGAGAAGCTGGTGAGCCAGTGCAGAACCCTGAATCCACTTCAGCATGCTCCATGGTGCTTCAGGTTAATCTTCCCATTACTTTTCCTTAAAAAAAAGATAGATGTAAATATGGTCAGTGCATTGTCATAGGTCTTTTGCTACAGAAGTTTGACATGGTTTTAAATATGCCATGAGCCAAGACCCATCCTCATTTGAGTCAAGAGATTTCCATATTACTTTTCACTAGAGGTTGATTACATGCATTCAGACATGACACCTATTCTAACTCTGGAAACATCAAATTAAATAAATCCCAGAGTTTTGATAAACAGCCATTTCAGTACCAATTAATCTTTTTCTAATATATATACATATACAGATGTTTATAAATATGTATCTCCATCTATATGTATACCTATACACACAAGTATGAAAGGAAGCAAGGAAAAATAATAGCAAAAAGATTATAACACCATAGCTCTGTCCTGAAGGAAAATATAATCAAATATCAAGGCATTTGATGTTTTATATGTGTATGTCCACACATTTATTCTCTCAGTAATTTGTATCCACTAATTAAAATCTTGCACAAGCCTATCTATCTTTGGCTGAGCAATGTTTGATATTAACTATTGAGTTATGTGTAAACACATCATTGGTTCATTTATAGTGATATTGATGTGTGTGTGTGTGTGTGTGTGTGTGTGTGTGTTTTGTAGCACTGGAGTTTGAATTCAAGCCTTAGAAATGCTACGCAGACTGTCTAACACATAACTCATTCTACCAATCCATTTTTTCTCTGGTTATAATGAGATGGGGACCTCACTTTTTGCCTAGAACATCTGGATGGCAATCTTTCGACTATAATTCCATTCTAGCTTAGATGATAAGTCTGTACCACTACACTCAGCTTTTTCTTTTGTCTTATAGACATTTTGCTCAGAATGGGCTGGAATCATGAATCTCCAAACCTCAGCATCCCAAGTCCCTGGGAAGACAGGAGGTTATCAGAGTGGCTCCCTCTTTGTTGAGATGGGATTTCACAAGCTTTCTCTCTAGGCTAGTCTCAATTGCAATCCTTCTGATCTTCACCCCCAAAGTAGCTAGGATTGTAGGTATAATCACCAACCTGTCCTTAATGTTGATATTTTGAATTAAAAAATAAATTAAACAGTACTTGGAAGGCTAAGGTATGAGGATTTTGAGTCTGAGGATAGGCTGCCATACCTAGTGAGACTCTGTCTAAAACAAGTTGTCAAATTAGTTAATAAAAACCTAGACATACCCGGGTGCCAGTGGCTCATACCTGTAATCCTAGCTACTCAGAAGGCTGAAATCTGAGGATCATGGTTTGAAGCCAGCCCAGATAGAAAAATCTGTGACACTCTTATTTCCAATTAATCACAGAAGAAGAGGGGAGTGGTCCTGTGGCTCAAGGGGGTAGAGTGCTAGACTTGAGCAAAAGGTGCTTAGAGACAGAGTCAAGGCCCAAGGTTCAAGCTCCAGGACAGGCAAAAGAATAAACAACAACAACAAAACCCTAAGACATGATTGTAAAATGAATTGATAGAGCAGAGTGGTGAGACTAACAGGTGGGTGGGAATGAAGGAAGAGAGTAACAGGATGAATGCTACAGAAGTACATTAATATGTATATGAAAATGGTAAAGAAATAAAACTCCTCCAATAGAAATGCACTCTTTATCTTTTTATTATGCAACTGTAACTCCTCTGTACATTAACCTTTATAATAACAATAAAAAACTTTTAATAAATAAAACTATCAAGACTATTAAATGTAATAGTTATAAAATACACGTTTAAGAATGTACCCAAACTGAATTAAAATTAGTTACAAAGTAATGAATTTTCTGTATTTAAGAACTTGTAATGTTGGTTTGTTTTGCTTTAGAGTCATTTTCCTGATAGCCTCTGGGGGAGGTATGGGTAGAATTTTTTAGAATACATCAAGGAAAGTAAGATTTGGTGAATGTAATACTTACGCCATCGCCTTACAGAAGGAACATTTATTGCCATATGTCTGACCATCAGAGCCACAATGGGGGTTTGATTCCCGAGTGCAGAAGATCTTAGGATCACGGAACTCATCACAGTTGATCTACAAAGTAGACAATGACATTGGAGAATGCTAGGTAAATTATCATTCCTTACAACAGAAGTTCTGGACAGCAAACTTTTGTGTTCTCTCTCTCTCTCTCACACACACACACACGCATACACATACACACACACACACACAAGCACACAAACATCAAAGTGTTCTGAAATAAAAACTGGCTCTCTTTGTTTAAATTAGATACTTAAATATAAAGCAGACATTTTCTCCGTGTCACAGGAAACATATGATAATGTCAACTGCTATAAGTAAGACTTTTTGCTATAACACAAATTGGTCCAGTTGATAGTAGTTTGGGATCATTAGATGACATGTTTTAACTGTATGAATGCAATAGTACTTCTTATGCATTCTTTTAAAAGCACATGTGATCATTGCAAAGAAGCATTCAGGTTTTATCTTATGGCGCCAACAGGTCTCCATGGGTGCAATGGCCCATTTATTATCTCTTGGAATCACAGTCTGAATATCTTCATGCTAACTTATTCTGTTTCGAATTCTGATGTAATTTGAACTTTTGTGCCCACTTCATTGATTTAGTGACAGCTGCAAACACTTCTGTGTTCAGGACTCTGGAGTTGTGCTCAGTTTAGTTGAGATCATTTGTTATGATTGATCAATAAGTGCTATCACAGAAAGGGATAATAGCCTCTGTGCTGGTAATATGTTCTCTTAGCTGTAGTGGTTTCTTAAAAATAATCTGGATAGTAGTGTTCTTATGGGACCATTCCTCTCAATGTAGTCAATCTTTGGTATGCAAATAGCATTATACATGGTACAATATTGTACAATTGTACATGGTACAATATTCCAGGATGCTAGCAAAATGGACTATGTAAACTGAAACCCTCCAAATAGTATCTGTGTGCAATGAATTGACATTTGCATATCAATAAAGAAACCTTTTTTCATCCATCTACAAGTTCTATGAAAATAGTACTATTTATTTTTATCAATTAAGCCTATTGAAATCCCTAAGAAGTATATTGAGTTACATTAAGAGATAGCTTCCAGATGTTTTTCTATAACATTTAACTAGCCTGTCAATGTGTGACATATTCCTTCTCATTACCGGGTCAGAATTTTTGACAGTTTAACATAGTTGATTTCTAATAGATCATTACTCAGAGAACAACCACCTATCTCTCACTTGAAGTCAAGCCTTAGACTTCCTTAAAATAGCTCTATAGTTCTCCACAGCTTAAGAACAGTATGTATTTCAGACACCTAATATAGATACAAAGCACAAGTCCCTATTATTGTACATATTACAATTGTATTTTGTTTATGATTTGTGTGGAATGAGTATATTTTAGCTGCTTTTACTACAAAAGAAACAAAACCAAAAAGTGGGTAACTAAGTAGTGGACAGATTAACTGGCTTTCCTATAGAAGAAATTTGCTGTTTATGTTTATTTATAAAATCATACTTTATACACACAATATTTACTTTTTAACAGTGTTTTAAAGAAATGCATGAACATAAGTGAAATCATTTGTTTAAGATGCTAGTAAAATAGTATTACTGACAGAGATCTAAAGGTTTGCCTGGGAAAATTCCCCATGAAAGAGTCATATAATCAAGTCACGGAATTGCCACATCAATTTTTTTTGATACCTGAGTGTATAAAACCACACATTGAGACTTAGCATTTCATACTATTAAAGATGGATAACATGGTCACGTATCACCTATGATCCTTATTTCCCTTGAAAGAAAATTCTATCTTCTCATGCTACTGCCTGAACAGTAATCTCTCCTTTAAGTCTTCAAGTGGAGTGAAAAAAAAAAATCTCAACAACAGAATAAGCCACAAAGAAAAGTTGTTGTGTTTACATTTAAGTGTCTACATTTAAGTCATTAGTGTATGCATTCACTGGTACCCTTCATTTATAACCACAGTGTTATTACTGTTTCACCAGTTCCCATAGTGTTGCCTGCTGGTGAGCTGGAGGACAATTGGTAAGAAATGCCTTCTCAATACACACATCATGTCATCTACTTTAGACAGGCAGAGAAGAGCTGCTGTCACCACAGTACAGTGTGTAGCCATTGCCACAGTGGGAAGAACACAGGTCATGTGGGAGTGAAGCCAAGGCCAGCTCCACCTACAGTCTCACCACAGCTAGGAAAATAAACAAGAAAGTCTCTTACTTGAAAGAGACGACTCCTTAAGCCACCTCTCCCTGGCATTCGGCCCTCTGATCTTGTGATCCAGCCTCTTTTGTCCTTTGGAAAGCAGATACAGGGAAGGGCACTTGGTGGGGAGCATTCACTTTGAGAGTTTTCCACCCCTCCTCCCCAAAGCCACTTCTCCATTTCTTCAGTACCCCAGGAAGAGGCTAGGAAAAGAAGACGTTTTCACTAAATAAAACCAAACCAATTAGCTGGCATGTGAACAAACTGCCTGTGTCCTATCTTAGATGAAGCACACAATAAGGATGCTTCAGTTTCTTTACACACACACACACACACACACACACACACACACACACACCCAGGAGATATGTCTTGTTCCTTGATTTCCAGGGATCGAATGTGGTCATATGGCAGCTGAAGAGGGGTAGTGTGGGATTGAAATTGTTATAAATCATGTGCATAGAAAGCAACTTTACTTCCTCTCTTAACTAAAGCTTTGAAAGGCATCTGTAACATAAACAGAATGGTATAGCCTTCCACACTCAGTGGTCTCTAGTGGTTTTTCTAGCTTTGGTGGTCCCAGACTTTTCAGTGATTACTGTCTGTGAAATGGCTTCCACACAGATCTTGTGTTCTTAGTTCTTCAGTGCTTGGGAGAAAGGTAACTATTGCCTTTTAATTACATCTAGAATCTTCTGTGGTCTCTCTGAGAGAAAATTAAGCCTGCAGAATGCAGTCAGAAGAGGCTGTCCCAGTGTGTGTGTGTGGGGGGGGTGACAATGGATTTGCAGAATTATTGGGAAATCTCAGCAAAGTGGAAGAAAGAGGCCCCAGCTCTCACAACCTGAGGGAAGTGGGAAATTAAAAATTCTTCATGTCATGACTTTTTTTTTTTTGCCTAAATTCCCTTTCCTCTTCCATGTTTTTGTTGTGGATTCTTGAATAAAATCCAAGCAATTTGCTTAACGGTCTACGGAGGTGAAAGCAGAATTAGATTGAGAATGAAGTGAGAGTACATCTTCTCCTTTAGCATATCATATGGAGAGCATTTAGGTCACCATGAGAGACAAATTTAATTAATCTATTGGAAATTTCTGCAATGATGCTATAATGCGAACAAATATCCTGCCAATGGAATTAGCCTAATCTGGGTTTAAATTTTGCTTCTCTTGACCACTTATTTATTACCTTGTGCCAACACTTCATTACTCTGAGTTTATATTTCTACATATTCCCAAGTGGATGAGTACTGGGTATCTTGTCAGATTGTGGTTATGAACAAGGTTTATATCAAGTACCATGTGGAAGTTTGGTACTATAAACACCAACAATGTATGGTGTATTTGTTACATGGTAAAGCTTTGGAGCTCATTATTGCTTGCCCTATTTTAGTGAGATTTGTAATGTTGTTTTGATGGTGATGAACTTGACAAAAAATTCCCATTTTGTTACTCTAGCTTTACACTACTAGGTACAAAGCATATACTATGTCCAGTGCATAGCATTGCTCTGATCACTTCTAATTGCTCAGAGAACTACATCTCTTAAAATGTGAAATAGCATGACTTACATAGGGACACTAGTCGTTTTACTAGTAGACTCAACAAAATCATGACTGGAAATGGTTGTAAACTACAAATCAGAATAATTAACATTTTAGTCTAAACTTTTATATTTCTAGATAAAGCCAATGGGAACTTGTATCTCATGGCTTTGGGTAGTAGAATCATGGTCCTTTATTTTTTGTCCCCGTTTTCAGACAAATAGTAACCATGTTATCACATCAGTTCTAACCTGTAGTACAGGTTTTCTTAAGAGCTCTCTATCTGTTGTTGGACTCTTGCTTTCACACCACATCTATTCTGTCATAATTGCTTTAAAAATGATTCCTTTCAAACTATTGTTGACAGTTTATTAAATGGTCATGATTTCCTTATGGTACATGCTACTTTGGATCACTACAAACAGTTTGAAATGCCTAGAATGTTTTTAAATTATGTCAGTTCTATGGTTCTCCATGGGTTATTTTTCTGTTGTTGTCTTCCCCTCTTTAGCATTAATTATAAAGATCATTTTCAAAATGGTTTTATTCACATGATTTTTCCCAAGGATGCATATTTTCCCAAGGAATACTAACAAATCTCACTTTTTCTTGAGTTTTTATTAATAACTCAAATTCGAATTCTAAGTTGTGGCATAAAATACCTATAGCCAACAATTTAATATACACTTAAGAATTATTTGTATCTGAAACATAGTTCTTTTTTTCCCCAGTACTGAGGTTTGGACTCAGGACCTCACTTTCTCACTGAGGGTTTTCTCTCTCTAGGTTTTTCTTTTTTTTTTTTAATTGTTGCAGCTGGCACTCTATCACTTGAGACACACTTCCACTTACGTTTAGTCTTTTTTTCTGTTCTCTTGGAAGAGAAGAGTCCCAAGGAATGGCCCGGCTTGGCACTAAGTCTTGATTTTCAAATTTTAATCTCCTTAGTCACTATGATTATAGGTGTGAGCTGACGCTTGTCTATAATTCTTTGTTTTCCTCTCAATTACTTTTGAATAACAACATTTCCATTTTTCATGACAGCATAGTTCTTCAGATTTCCCAGCTGATCTTCAGACTAAAACATTGCTATTTCTTTTCCTTTATTAACATTTTTATGTCTGTGCCTCGTCTTTTTCTTTACTAATTCCAAATTTACTTGCACCAGTCCTCAGCTTACTTCCTTTTCTCTTTTCTCATTCTTTTCCTTCCTTCCTTCCTTCCTTCCTTCCTTCCTTCCTTCCTTCCTTCCTTCCTTCCTTCCTTCCTGCCTTCCTTCCTTCCTTCCTTTTCTTGATCAGTTTTGTGGTTTGAACATAGGGTCTTATGCTTGCTAAGCTAGCATTCTACCGCCTGAGCCAAGCCTTCAGACCCGTTTTTGTTAATTTTTTTTCTTTTTTTATATTAATAAGTTTTTTTATTGTGAAAATACCATACAATTACATGAGCAAGGTAATCAGTACATTTCTTATCAAGCATTGTTGCCTCCTCCTTTGTTTCCCTTTCCCATCCCTGCCCTCCCATCTCCCCCACTCGTTCATTTATCGACATAATCTCACTTCTGCAAGACCCTGGCAGAGCTATGATTTGCCTACTTTAGGCTTTCTGTGATTTCTGGGATTGCAGGTATAAGTAAGGTATAGCTAAGATTCCAGGCATGAGCCACGAGCTCAACAATTATTTTCTAATTCAATATAACAGGTTCTGTTCTTTCTGCCTCCTTTCCTCCTGGTGTCAAATCCTTACATGGATTTTATTCCGAACTATGGTTTTCTTTTTTTTTTTTCTGTGATGGTAATGGGATAATACTGCTACTTCATATTTGTTTAGAAAATTACATTATTGAAAGGTTGGCAGATATTGCGTTGTGAATCTTTAAAGTGACTAGTGCTCACTCAGCAGCCCTAGCTGTGGAATCACAGCAGTGCGAGTTTCCCTTTTGCGGTTAAGTTGGGGATGGTGTGTAAGAACACTAAGCTGCACTTGGTCGGCCAGGACATTGATTCTAAGAAAAAAATGAAGTGAATAGAGAAGATTCGAAAACCCAAGCTTATCCTAGCCATGGAGAATTGCTTTACAATTCAAATACACCCCTTATATGACAAAACAGAAGAATAAATTCAGTGATCCCAAAGTACAACAATACAGGAAATTGGATCCTAATCCACCTTTGAAAGGTCTGATCTATTCTCTTTAGTTCAGACTGCTCCTTTCTACACTTCTTTAGGGATATGGTCCCTAAACACTGAGCAGAGTCTGAGAAAAATAGAAGACATGAATGGCAATGCAGTGAGTAATTCAAAAAGCATTATTTATTCAGAGCAAAGGACGAGCTGTTTCTAGACTGTCTTTCACACATTTGTTGTTGTTATGAAACAATTTAATGAAGTACTTGAGATAGTAAGTAGTAGTTTTATGTTCCTATTGTCATCATGTTATTGAATGTACCTAGTTGGCATATTCACAACTTGACAACCGATTAGTCATTTATCCTTAAAAAGAAATTTTTACTTAGCACCTGAGTTCCAAACGTCTGGGAACATGCTTATTGTTCAGCTGAATAACATTTTGAATGTGAAAAATTTTAAAGAACTATAATTTGGATGGATGACTATAATCTTTCATGAGGTGTTTCATTGTGCAGAGATTTTGTAACCTGGAAAGAATGACTTGCGCATTAGGGCAACCTAATAATAATGACTTCCTTTTGCCTTAGCTGGATCTGCCTTTAGTCACCACATTCCTAAAGCGAGCTCCAGCTTCTGTCCCTCACTGGGCAGAAGAGGAAGCTTAGACTCCATGTGAATCAGAAGGAGTCCTTCCTGATTCTTTATGTTTGAGTGGAGACCACAGTTTGGGCAGGACCAGACTTGGTTTATAATGGCTCAAATATTTAGTGCAGGAAGATGCTTTAAAGGTTGGTGAACCCAACCTTTTTTTTCTTTTTTTAATAATTTTTATTGAGATTAAGCGATTACATAAATTTCACCAACTTCAGGGTATTGTGGGCTAGTGATACTTAGTTAAAGTCACAAACATATTTTAACCTTTATGAGGCACTTGTCATTATCATGTTCTATGAAGCTTATGGACTCTACAAACTTTGACACTACAGCCATTTCTTCCAAATCAGGTGATATGTACATTTCTTTCCCTTTGCTAAGTATAAGAACCAAACCCTTTATAGTAGCCATTTGTGAACAACCAGGCCACACCAATGGCTGAGATCTGAGAATCTCAGGTCAAAGCCAGCCTGGGCTGGCTCAAGTCGTAGAGTACCAGTCTTGAGCAAAAAACCAAGCAAATACTATAGGCCCGAGATCAAGCCCCAATACAAGCACACACAGGAAAAAAAATAAACAATTTAGGAGCAAAAGCAATGAGAAGGAAAGAGTTCTTGCCCAAATCACACACAGAGAGTAAACATTTGCATTAGGACTCGTTGTCTGACTCCAAAGCCAGTGTTTCCTAGTACTGCTTGCTTCAGGCAACCAAGAAAGAAAGTTCTCAGATTTTGCTCTATCTGAACAGCACCTGGATAACTACTTTGAATACAAATTCCAAGTTCCTCACCCTTGAAATTATTATTCAAGATCAATATTCAGGGCCTTGTTTGGGGGTCTGCCTATCTACACAGAATCTCAGGTGACCCAGAAATAAGCCAACTGTAAGACATAGAGGATTGTGTGTCCAAGGAAAGAGCTTTGATGTAAATGACAAAATTTAGTTTAAATTTCACAGCTGTGACATTTCTGTGTAATGGTCATATATTACTGTGTGATGGATATGAAACATGTGGATGGAGTCTTACATAATTTCCTTTGTGGGCTTTTATGTAGGGAAGTCAATTTTAAGTTTTAAAGCAATAACAAATGCATGTATTAAACACACTCATATCCACAGAGGCAGGTAACTGCAAGACATCGCCAATTGTAAGATATACCTTAATTTTGAATATGCTAATTTTATTTTCAAGGCTGATGTACTATAATGAGAGTATTTCAAGGTTGGAAAATATTTCTCAACATGCTTACCAACTTAAATCAGTTGCCAGCACTGTTTGGAAAGTTTGACAACTAGCAAGCATTTTGGATCCATCAAGACAAAACGTTTAAACTAACAAACAAGTACTAGGATTAATTTGAAATGCTCAATATGGACATAGGAGCCAAATTGGCAGAGTAACTAGTATTTATTTTTTATTTTTTGATAATTAAATCAAGAAAGGTAACAAAAGTTATCAAATGAGATTGGTAACAATGAAGCCCAACAATGAAGAAAAGGCATGCTGGCTCGAAGTTATACTACTCCAAATTACATTTAAATTAGTGATCAATCTATGTATTCTCAACACAGAACATTAAACTAGTTTTCTAAGTTGTTATTTATAAAAATGTAATATGAGCTTCTCTAACTCCTGGAGAAGCTGTTAATCAGTAATGAATAGAAATTCACTAGTAACTGTTACAGTTTCTCAAATGTTTCCATAATTTCATTCATGAAATAAATATTTTTTATGCAAATTGGGTATCATTTAAATTTTATAAAGTGAATAATAGGATGCCTTTATGAAATCAGCTCTACTTTTGATAAAAGTAATGCATTTTGTTTGCTTTTTATTAATGTGCATGAATAGTAATTATGGTTTTTCACTGTAATAATTGCATCACATTTAGGCTTTTTTGAATTGAAAATGGTATACTCATAGAGAAATTCTAGTTTAAAAATGACTGTTTCAGTGAACATTTGTATTGGCCTTACCTGCTCATGGTTTTTGCTCTTTTATTGCATAGACAAACCAGCTAAGCACACATTGTGCTCAGAAGAAGTGGATAAGAATATACTGACCTGTCCTCCTTGACTGAAGACACCTGAAAAAACATAAAATGTGAAAAGTGAGATTTATACACTGTACATTTTCATACCTCCTCTTGGATCTGGTTGTGTCAAGAAGTCACACTATTCTGCCTGACATTTTACCTCTGTTTACTGTGGAGGGAACAGTAGGAACTTGGAAAGTTATGGAAGGACATGGACCACAAAATGACAATACTTGTTCTTTTTGTTTTCTCCCACCTTCCAAGGTGGGACAAAAATGGCGTAAGGCTCTGGAGATTTATGGTACAGTGCTGGCTTCACCAACAACCTCTGACATTGACAATCAATTCTTGCAGTTCCTCTCAGAAATATTTGTTTGGGGCAGCTGGTAAAGTTTGCCATTCGTTCACCAAATCAGAATTGCTCTTCAGAATACCACTTCAAAACCATAGCCCAAATGTAGGCTGCCAAGAACCAATCCATTCTTTTCTGTGCTGAATTATGACAAACTAGCTCAGTGGTTTCAAATAATGAAATAACAACATTCCTAGGTTCCATCTTGGCACAGCTGCTGGGTTCTGTGACCCTTTCTGTGGAGCTTATAGTTTAGAAACACCACTCACATGTACGCTCAATAACAAAAAGTAGGGATTCATGATATCAATTTCCAATGCCAACCAATAATTGGGGAAAATACTGAAAATGTCTAAAGGTGAAATCATAATAAATGAGGATAAGGAGAGAACAAGGCTTTAAATTTTAAAAGATGTTGTATCATCATTTCCAGCAGTGTTTACCAAGATCACTGATTCCTAGCCAATAAAAGGAATGTTCATGGTAAAAAACAGATTACTTAGCCAAATGCAGTGGCAAATGCCTATAATACAGCTATTCTGTAGCGATACAGAAGATCATGGTTCATGGCAAGACCAGGAAAATAAGTGATATTAAATCTCAGCACAACACTGGAAAGGTGGGTGTGGTGGTTCATGTAGGAAGCAGAAATAGGAGGATGTAGTCCTGGCTGGATGGGCAAAAGAACCCACAAGAATAATAATAAAATAATCAAATCAGGGCTAGGGGTATTGTTCAAATGTTATACATTGTTAGAATATCTACCTAACAGACATAGAGTCATGAGTTCAAACATCAATACTGCCAAAATAGAAATGAATAAAATAGAAATGCATGAAATAAAAAAGAGATTCTTCAGATGATCTCTTGAACCTTGCATAATATAAAACCTGACAGGTACTGGAATTCCATATTTTTCAAACATGCTCATTGAATTTTATGATCAGGGAAAAATGACTACAATTTTCTGTCCAGTCTCCACTGTGAAAAATCTGTGATTAGAAGAGGAGGGCTTTTCCCAAAGTCTTGTAGATTTACAAAACAGCAATAGAGAAGGAAGATTGGTATCTATAATGTCTGGGTCCAATTCTGTTGTCTTTGAGTTATGGAAAAAATAAAAGATGTCTGCTGAGCTCTAGCTCTGTGAAGCTCATTCTATGCATTCTCTCATTTACTTTTGTATTTTGAATTAGTCCTTTTATAAACCCTTCCTATGGGAAGAAAAGGAGCTTTAGAAAGCTCATGTTGAGATGGAAGTGCTGGGTCTGATCTTCCTTTTTGGGTTCAACATTGGACAGGTTGTCCTCCCAAGTGACATCTATTGTATCTATGAAGTATCAATGATTGATGCATTTGATATGCCAATCAATAAGATCTTGGTAAAGATCAGTTCATCTGCGCAAAGAGAAGCTGAACAGAGTAAGCAATGACAGAGACTATTGTTGCAACTATTTTTAACATGTCTGATTTTTCTGCCAGCTCAGCAACTTATCAGACTACTGTTTGATTTATTTGATGTTAGTACTCAAACTTACTGCATTATATTAGAGTAAGCTCTTATGTATTTAAAATATTTTGGGTGTTTTTGTTTATACAAAGGTGATCTGGTGACAATAAATGATACTATCCATAAGGACATAAAACTTGTTTCTTACATGTTCAACTTTAAAATTTTTGGCAGCAGCAAAATCCACCTGCTGTTAACACAGACAATGGGCACATCACACATGGAGGCCTAGGACTTATATCAGTTCTAGCATTTTACACAGGAGAGAATATCTCAGAGAGCTGAGATATTTATTTAGGTACAAAGATTATTACTGAGTCTTGGGACCACACACTCTTGTGGACACTTTGCCACTAACATATAATAGTATAAATTAATGTAGAACAATATAATATATATTATATTCATATAAATATTCATATAAATGACCACAATAACTAGAAATGATGTTTTTCATCTTCAGGTGGAAAACATCGTATCAAAGTATGAGTGTTACATGTCTCTTAATTGATAAAATTACTTACTTTTGTTAATGTAACCATATTTTCCTGCTTAAAGAATTAATGTCTCAGTAACATATGGTCTTACATCCAAAGGCTCAAGAACTTCTTTTCAAAAATTTCCTCATTAAGTTTATATTTATCCCTTGTTTCAACTTTTAATTTCTTGTGTTCCTTTGTAAATATGGAATGACAGGATAGCTTAGTTTTATTTTGTAAAGCCAAGATTAATGCTGAAGTAAATATGTAATTCAATGAACTTGATTTATTGATTAGTTCTTTAGAATAAGCACCAAGTTGAATGTCTACAAGATCTGGATTCAAGTTCCAAATTTCATTTACTTGTGTGAGTCCCTTAGCATTTTTCTTAAGTATGTCTCATGAAGAATGGGAATGTGAATTCCTTCCCAAGAGAATCAGAAATGATACAAGTCATACCATGTCTAGAACAGAGTATATGCTCAATAAAAGACAATTATTTTATCATGGTGACCATCTTTGCCATCATCACTATTACAATCATGATTGTGATCATCTGCTCTTTATATCATTATCCTGGTCTGTCTCTTATAGCAAAATCATTAGAATTCTGAAACATCCTGGAAAACTACATTTTTATCTTTGACTTGATATACAAATGAGATGTTAATTTTAAGAAAAAAAAACTCACCTGAGAACATGTAGAAAAGAGCCAGAGAGAGGAGCACAAAGACACCTGCTGCTTTCATGGTGTCAATTAGCTCACTCCGATCAAGGCTGCTTTGCTTGGCTTGGCTTCTCTGTGAAGACACTTCTCAGAAAGCACTAAAGTACATATTCAGACACACATTCACACATACACACATGTATATATAAGAGACAACATAAAGAGAGTTGAGATCTGATCTCCACCTTCTTTTATAAAAAAAATCACCTTCTAAAACCATATACAGTCCTAGACACTTTAGGTATTTATGGGGAGCTGTCACTAGTTAGGGAAATGTTTTATGCTCCCCATCAATCTTAAAAATGAGGACAATTATGTGAGTCGCACCTTAGATCGTAGTAATAGAGGATGTCATTTTCTGCTACTAACCTATATTTGCCTAACAACCAATACATCCTCCCTGCTCTTCCCTCTAAGGCTTTGCTTCATTAAAGGGATGATTCACATGTTCCACTTGCTCCCTGTGTCTTTTTCAGGCAGGTCCTATGTGATGTGGACAAGATGAATAACCAGAGGGATGGAACCTCTGGGCGTAACTGGGATTTTCCAAATCCAAGTCATTCTAAGGAATACCAAAAGCAGGGAAGTATTCTAGATAGTCTCCAGAATTTCCTCAGAACAAAGATTTCCTAGTTAATTTTTGAACCATGATGCAGTCAAATGCCAGTGATTTGAAATTTTTGAGTTAATAGGTACAAGAGGTTTGATATTTCCTTTTCATTTAATGAACTTTTTTGTGTGTGGGGGGGTCCAGTCATGGGGCCTGAACTCTGGGCCTGGGCGCTGTCCCTCAGCTCTTCAGCTCAAGGCTAGCGCTCTACCACTTGAGCCACAGCGCCACTTCCGGCTTATTTCTTTTTGCTTATGTGGTGCTGAGGAATCGAACCCAGGGCCTCAGGCATGCAAGGCAAGCGCTCTACCACTGAGCCACCTTCCCAGACCTTTAATGAACATTTTTATTTCACCTGGGCACCAGTGGCTTATGTCTGTAATACCAACTCCTAGAGAGACTGAGATTGTGAAGATCACAATTTAAGGCCAATTCTGGCATCTGCACAAGATCCTTTCTGAATCAATAGCGGTGTGGTGCTGCACACTTGTGTGGGAGGGTGAGAGTTGGAGGAACATGATTCTAAGATTTCTCTGAAGAAAAGTTCATTGTGTAATTTGCTTAGTGATTCTGTCTTGTTAGAAAGAAGCTGAGCATGGTGGTTTGCATCCGTCGCCCCAGCTGTCACTGAAAACCTAAAATGGATGAATCATGGTCTAGTCATGGGCCCATGCAGGAAGTGAGATACTATTTTAAAAACATAACTCATATTAAAAGAGGCTGCTTGGATGACTCCAGTGGTAGAAAGACTGCTTACCAATCACAGGATCTTGAATTAGGACTACCCCCTGCCCTGGAATTGCCAAGAAAATAACTGATTTCAAAGTATGGAGGTACATGCCTACAATCTCAGCACTGAGGAGGCTGAAGCAGGAGTGTATTCATAGGTTAAAGGCCAGCCTGGGATATGTTGTGAATTCTGACTCAAAATAAAATGTTTTAAATATTAGGAGGTAGGATGAGCATCATATAGGAGTGCATAATGAACAAATACAGTGTTCGAATGAATGTAATGATGACACTGGAGACCACACATATTGCACAATGAAGGTACACTGATAAAAACGTTAGGGAGAAGTTATGGAATTGAATATTAAAATGAGCAATATTTAATACTTGCTTTAATTCTGAAAGATTAAAAATAGTTGTCCTAGAGTCCTTTACGTTTGAGCCTCTCAGAAAAACACTTTTCCTATGTTAGGAATCCCATAACTATCACAGCCAATGTAATTGGATAGATCCAAGCGAAGAATGGCCCGATTCCTTTCTGTAAAGGATAAAGTGTCTTAAGGAAGAGAGCAGGAAACTGGTGGCTAATGCCTGGAATCTGAGCTCCTCAAGAGGCTGTGAAGTTTAGGTTGATATCTGAAGCCAGTTGGAGCAGAGCAGTCCATGAGACGCTTATCCTCAATTAACTGAAAAAAACTGGAAAAGGAGGTATGGCTCAAGTGGTAGATAGAAGGCTATGTTGAATGAAAATCCAAATGAGAGCTGAGACTGCGTTCAAGCCCCATGACTGGCACAAAAAATACCAAGAAAGTGTATTGACCATGAGAGTCTGCCTTCAAACATAATACAAATACCAAGAAGAAAAGTGTCGTAAGTTTAAATATGAAATGATTTTGTAAAGGATATCCTGCTGAAACAAGAGATGAATGTATATGTAAGACACATAGGATAAAACAATTGACTTTCTTTAATGAAAGTAGTTGCTTTGAGAATATATACACAGAATTCCCATACTGTTTATTTATCTAGGACATATGTTTATTTCACTGACTTTCTGGTATTATAACCACCTTACTTTTCAAACCAGATATTTCATTTGGTTTCTCTGGATTATTTAGGTTTGATGATGTCATCACATGAGTGTTATTCCCAGCTTTACATCAACAATCTCTATACATGCCTTTTCAACTGTCATCAGTGTTACCACAAAAATATTGAGTAAAACAGGCTCAAAGGATCCTTCAACTGTTACCTACAAGGTTGCTCTGTTGAAATCAGTACTTGGGCATTTTTCTGGCCTGGTATCAAACTTCTCATCCTTATAAAATTCAATGAGGGGAATTTTATGTGAGCATGTGCCACATGAGTCAACATGGTACAAGTCTTCTAAATGCTCAAATTAGCACATTTTCTGCTCCTCCTCCTCAGAGATATCCAAATATGCTCTTCGTTTTTTGCAATTTTTCTTTGGTCAGTCGTGGGGCTTGAACTCTGGGCTTGGGCACTGTCCCTGCGCTCTTCAGCTCAAGGGGACAGCTCTACCACTTGAGCCACAGCACCGCTTCCGGTTTTCTAGTGGTTTATTGGAGATAACAGTCTCACAGACTTTCCTGCCTGGGCTGGCTTTGAACTGCCATCCTCAGATCTCAGCCTCCTGAGTAGCTAGGACTACCGGCATTTTTTCACAATTTTTAAGAATTTACTTTATTGTTATTGTAGAGGTGATGAACAAAGGGATTATAATTACATGAGTCAGATAATGAGTACATTTCCTTTGGTATAGTGTTTTCTGTTCCCTCACTGTCTCCCAGTCCTTCCCTCCCATCTCCTCCCACGAGTTGTATAGCTCACTTTCATCAGTGTCCAGTGTGCTCCACTGTTGCAGTTTTTCACCCTCTTCCCCTCCAGTTCTGTATCCTCCCTGCAACCCTTCCGAAGAGATACATTTAATATCCCATACATAAAGTAGACAATCATCAGAAACTGTAAATAGAAAGAAAGAAGGAAAGAAAGAAAGAAGGAAAGAAAAAAGAAAGAAAGAAAGAAGAAAATAAGGAAGAAAGGAAGGAAGAAAGGAAGGAAGGAAGGAGAAAAAAGAAAGGAAGAAGGAAAAAAAAACAGGTCTCTTGCTTGTGTATCTTGGAGTTTGTTTCAGTATGTATGTTATTTTATATAAATATGAAGAGGTGCTTAGGCATTGTGCCTTTGTGTTTCTCTCCTAAGAGTTTCCTCTTGAGGTCTCTCTGTGTGTGAGCATCTAGAATCTGTATAATGTATCATATCCCAGCGTATTTTAGATCTAAGTTCCGCATATCAGAGAGAACATGTGCCGTTTGTCTTTCTGTATGCTCTTCATTTTTATTTTATTTCCTTCACATTATTATTTATCCACCTTAATTTGTGGCACTGCCTTTGTCTGGAAGTATATTTTCTTTAATGACTAGATGTCTACATTCTTCTTACCAGGCAATCAGAAGCCCACATGATAATACAGACCAACAGGATATTACTTTATCCACTAAGGCAGACAATCTAAGTTGGTTCCATGAAGACCAACACTGATTGGCTTGTTAATATATTCTATTTGGATCGTGAAATGGTTTTCATGTTTCCCCTTAATCCACAACTTTTTTTTTTTTTTGGTCGGTTGTGGGGCTTGAACTCTGGGCCTGGGCACTGTCCCTCAGCTCTTCAGCTCAAGGCGAGCACTCTACCACTTGAGCTACAGCGCCACTTCCGGTTTTCTGGTGGTTTATTGGAGATAGGAGTCTCATGGTCTCTCCTGCCAGGGCTGGCTTTGAACTGCGATCCTCAGAGCTCAGCCTCCTGAGTAGCTACGATTACAGGCATGAGCCACCAGCGCCCGGCATTAATCCACAACTTTTAACTATTTAACAAATGATTGACATAAAGCACAAGAAATCTTGAAACTATTTGAGCCCTTCATTGCTATGACAAAACCCATCAGGTGTTCCATGGTACATTCCTCAGGGAAGTTTGCTTTGTTCCACCCATTTGCCTTATCTGTCACTGCCCCTAGAAAGCATGTGAGTTGGAGAATTCTGCCCTTTTTATACCAAAGGTAATTTTTTAATTCTCAAGGTAACTATCATTGTATTTTTTTAAATGAAAATGGTCATGTTTCAGAGGAGGAGAACATCTGGCCCCAAGGTGATGCATGATCCACAAAACCACTTACCATCTGATGGGGTAGACACATAAAGGACTGTCTACTGTATTACCAATACAGTAGTGTGTGTCCCATAATGATGTTATAAATACCCAAATGGCCTTTGGCAGAAAAAAAACATTTCACCAATTCTGCTGCTTGTGATCAGAATCTATGTTTATTATCTTTCATCTTTCAAATTTCCATCTTGTGTTTAGCAATTACCCCATACACTTTTACTTAAAATTTTTTAAATGTAACTATTGCCATGTTTCTCAGATATAATCAGTAATTATTCCAGTTGCCATTGTCTCCATGACATTCATTTTCTCCCTGTTTGAAACATGTAGATATTTGTTCGTCTCTAGTTTTCTACCACCTGGTTTCCAATAACTAAATCTAAATCAGATGGCAATGTAGGTTGAAAGTCTTATACCTTTATCAACTTCCTAATGAAATAGAACATAAGTTCCTATTTCTCATTAAGTCTATGCAAGAGCCATGGATGGCAAAG